AAAAAAAATTTCCATTAAAAAAAGCTTCAGTTCTTCAACATCATTCTTCAATAGTTTTATGACTTGATTCAATTTCACCATTTCAACACAGTATATAGCTTCAGCAATCTTAAGCAGAAACTTAAGGAACATAGTTTTCATTAAAACTATAGGTTTTTTCTTTCTTTTTTATTCATTTATCACCATCATTCTACAAACCATAAGCACTTTACATCTTGAACAAAATGACACTATAAACATTAGCCCCGAAAAACATCGGAGTTGACCAGTCCCTCATAATCGTTGTCAGGCCAACCATTGCTGTAGACTGTAGCTTCAAGGTTATGATTTGTTTGCTCCTTCCCTGATGTAGCTAGATTTTATAAGATTAAATTGGGTATTTATTTTTAACCAGGCGACACAGATTTCAATAAGACCACGTTAGTTTTAGGTAGGGCCATAGGGGTGTCAAATGGGTGGGTTGGGTCGATTATGGGCGGGTTAAATTGGATTGAGTTAATAATTGGACGGGTCATTTCTTGGGCTAAGATGGATTGGGTTCAAGATGGGCTAAAATTCGGGTCATAGCTCAACCCGCCCAATTTTTTTTCAAGCTTCACTTAATATGTGTTGTTTTCTTATGAATTGTATAATTAGTAAATATGACTTTTTTTTTCTTTTGTTATAGTCATGTATAACATACCAAACAAAAAAAAAAATATTTTAAAGATATTTTGGCAAAGTTACTCATGAATCAATTTGGGCTAAAAATTGACCATGCTTTAAACGGGTTGAGATAGGTTTGGCCAAGATGGGCCAAGTTCAATAAATGAGCGAATCAATAACCAGCCCAACCTGGTCATTTGGGCTTGGGCCAAATTTAACAGCCCTAATTTTAGATTTCCGTTTGATTTTCCTATTAAGTGGAGACGATAAATGCTCAAGGTGAAATATAAAGGACAAAGTTATAGCTAGTCCCAAACATATGGGGTAATTTTAGCTAAAAACTCAGATCTAATTATATCCAAATTACTAGCTAGTTTTTGGGGAGAGTAAAATCTTTCATCTTGCAGTTTTCTCTCGATCTTTCCTTTAATCTTGTATTTGTCACTCCACCATAAGGTCTCTTGGTTATTGATTTTGGTCAAACTGTTAACCGGATAGATAGAGCTTTCTTCCCCTATTTTTGACAGTGTTAAATAGAAACCTCAAGGCAAATGTGCTTGTAGAGGACGGACGTATAGTGAGCAATTGGACACTGTAGTTCACAGAGTAGCCTGTGGAGATATGTTGATCACAATTCACAAGATCGCCTCCAGTAGTCTGTCTACACTCCAGTACTCCTCTGGGAGCTTTAACACACTTGTCATTATCATAGCCATGATCAAAGAAGAAATCAGAGAAGATCAATTGGTGGCTATGGCAAACACTCACCATTGCCACCATAACGACCCCCACATGAAAATTCAACACCCCAGCCATCGTTCTTGGTTAGTCTTTCGTCCAATATACTACACGACCTTATCTCTAGATTATTGCAAGTCCCTACGGGCGTTGCCAATGCAAAAAAGGTGTATCATCTCACTCCACAACATCTAAAAGGCTAAACAAAATGTCACAATTTCTGAACTACTAAATAGTCGATAATGAAAGCAAGTAAAGAAATCAGAACTGTGGCCCGAGACTCCAATGTACACCACCAAAGACTATTACTCGCATTATTCCATTCCCATCTTTTCCTCCTAGTTTGTCAAATTGAAAGTTCCCCCCAGTTCTATTAAGCTCTGGCAAGTTTTGTGAAGAAACTTTAGCTGTTTATAGAAGGCATAGGCAAGCATGTAAAGTCGACGAGGAAGACAGAATCTATATATGCCTCAATCCCATAAAAGTTGGAGCTGACCATATGAATCCTCTTATATCTACTCCATTTCACTCAAATCGAATTTATTCCAACAGTAAATAATTTTGTCTTCAAGGGCAAATTAGTGGTCTCTTAGAACGACCATAATCCAGAGAAAAGCTAGATAGCATTTATCAGTGCCTCAGCCTGCTTTAAAAAGTTGCATAATGCAAAGTACATGAGCAGTACTGATACCCTCAAAGCTGTCTTACCAAGTGCCATAATATTATGTCTAACCATCACCAAACTGTCTACTGCAAAGAGTACAACATAGGAAGTGCCAAATGTTGGGAAAATGCTCACTGTGCACCCAGGACTTCAATCTCAAAAACCAGAACTGAGTTTGACTGAATACCCCATGCTGGAAATCCAGCAGCACCATAAGCATAATCAGGAGAGCACTGCAGCATTTTAAGACATCATCAGTTAAGACTCTCCTTGTAGAAGATCTTAATACATAAAGCCTAGAAACTTCATTTTTCATGTTTGTACAGTTATAGCAGGATTAATACGCTTTGGAGGAAAGAGAAGTGCAATTATTGTGTTGTTACCATGCGACATGTTCATGCAGACCCCTTTATAAACATTTCAATTAGTCCAATCAAAATGATGAAGATAATGTGCGCTTGAAGTGGGCAGATATAACTAGGCAAAAATTGAGAAAGGGCTGTTAGGAGAATGATCTGAAAACCATCAATATATTTTAATTTGTAAATTGTAAAAAGCTTCATAATGCCTTCTGACAAGCCAGTAAGCCCAAAGGATGACGACATTTTTGTAAAGTAAAACTAATGAGAATACAATCGTCTAAAATCACCCAGGAGATATCAAGCTCCTTCTTTTCAAATTGCCTCTTTAATTTTTTGAATATAAATCCATATAACTAACTCCAAAATTAGTTTCACCTCAACTAAGAAATCAAAAAAAACGAGAAGGTATTTACTGTTAATCGAGCAACTTCTCCCACTTGCATGCTCAGTACTCCTTCATCCCATCCTGTAAATAAGGAGATACAAGAATAAGAAACTGCAGCCTGAGAGAACTTTGTCACTATAGTCTGTAGTGTTGTCCTAGTCTCTCCCTTAAAGACCCAGAAGGAGGAGGGGTTTTGTTAAAAATGTATGCACGTCTAACAAATCAGAAGGATCCAAAGAAGGAAACCCTTTTGTAGCAAGATCTTCATTTTTGTGTGTGTGTGTGTGGGGGGGGGGGG